TTCTTGGTGGGCATCAGCCAGGGGAAAGGGTGGCTGCCGGTTTCTGGTGGGTGGAAGCCAGGAACAGCATACAGGACTGTCCCTGAATGAGAGTTTGCTTGTTTCAGATGTCATTATGCTGAAGCTGAGAAACTGGCTGTGTGTGTGTGTGTGTGCACATGCATGAGTCCTGTGTCTTGAACTCAAGGCCTGGCTTCTGTACCTGCCTTAGTTTTTTTTTCCTCAAGATTGCTGCTCTACCACATGAGTCATAGCTCTACTTCCAGCTTTTTGCTGGTTAATTGGAAATTAGATTCTCATAGACTTTTCTGCCCCTGGCTGGCTTTGAACCTCGATCCTCAGATCTCAGCCTCCTGAGTAGGGAGGATGATGGGCATGAGCCACTAGCATCCAGCTCAGATGTTGTTGTTTTAAAATAACATCTGCAGGAAGACACAGGCCTGGGAAGGCCAGCCTGCCCGGTGCAGATGTGAGACCTCATCCCCTACGTCTGAGAAGAGCTGGCTTTCCTCTTGAGAACGGCGGGGTTTAGAGGTCAGCAGTGCTGTGTCAAGGTCACACGTGGGCCAGGGATGTCCCTGAGATGCAGACGAAGAGCAAACTTCCTCCCGTCTCACGTTCTCCACTTGCTGTGCTCCCCCCTCTCCTGATGGCTGTTTCTAGAACTAACAACACAACAATGTCCATCCGTTCTTCTCAAAACTTGCCTGACCCTCTGGTTCAGTCCTGGACCAGGCGAGTTGTTTCCATCCTACACACCCTCCTCTGCTCCCCAGCCTGACCTCCCCCCATCTTAGGGGTGGACCCTCATTCACCCCTTCAAGGTTCAGAGGTAGGTGGGGGGGGCTATGAAGAGTTGCTCTTCTGGTAAATTTAATGCGATTTTATTTGACAAGGGCTCTTTTGCCCTTTCTCCCCCCGGGAACAGACATTGGATGGACGTGGGGGGGGGGAGGTCGAGTTTCCCCTGGGATTTGGGGAAAAAAGAGAGAGATGGAGTGGGGGGGGGAAAGCGCGCTTTCCTGGGGTCCTTTTTGAAAAGGCCCTCCCCTCATTTCCGGCCGCCGCTGCCAGCCTTGGCTAGGCGCCTGGATCCCGTTGCTATGACGACAGGAAGAGGCGGTGGCGGCGGCAAGCGATGCTGAAGCCATGCAGGCTAGTGGGGGTGGGGGGTGGCTTTTGAAAGGGGGTGGGGGTGGGGAGCAGGGGCTCAGGGTAAGGGGGGGCGGGGACAGGGGGGTCCCAGCTCTGACCTCCTCCCTGTGTCTCAGCCCCAGTCCCTCTATCCCCCCCTTTTTTCCATCCTCCTCCTCTTCCTCCTCCCTTTGGTTTCCTAGTGCTGTTGGCTCAGTCCGTAAGTCTGTCTCTAGGTCTCTGGGTCTCTGTCTCTCTCCGCCTCGGCCTTGCTCCATCTGCTCCCCCTCTTTCCTTCTGTCCCCCCCTCCTCCTGCCACCCAGGCCCCCTCCCCCTCCCCCTGCACATTCCTCTCATTCATTACTCTCCCCCTCCCTCTCACTCTACCAAGACCTTGCCCCCTCCCCAGCTCCTCCCCCTCCCCCTCCCCCCATTCCTTCCCCTGTCAGAGCCTCGCAGTTCCTCTCTGTCTGTCTGTCCCCATCTGTCCCTCCTCCAGTCCCTTCTGGGATCCAGAACCTGAACCCCTCCTCACCCTCGGCTCTGCCTCTTCTCTGGGGTTCTCCCTTCCGGGCTCTGCCTCTCTCTCTCTCTCTCTCTGTCTCTCTCTCTCCATGCCTAGCTGTCTATCTGTCTTTCTCTGTCTGTGTCTCTGTGTCTAACTTCCTTCCACTACCCGTCCCTGCCTCCCCCAGTCCCTGGTCCTCAGGCTCTGGGTCTCTCTCTCCGCTTCTCCTCACCTCTCTCGTCTCTCCCTCCCTCCCGGGTCTCGATCTCTCTCGGTCTCTCTCCTTCCACCGCTTCCTTCTGCCGCCGACCCTGCCCCCAGTCCTTCCCTTCC